TACAGTCTATTGTCTCTTTAATATATACGGCTACACCTCTTTTTTTTCTGTTGTGCTGATGCATGGTAAAGTTTCCCAATTTTTGGGTATTCCAACAGCTTGTAATATTGTCTTTTTATATGTGTCTCTTGCAAACAAATTATATCTATATTTAATTTCTGTAGCTTTCTAAAAATTGTGTTTCTTTTTGATGGGGAGTTTAGTCCATTTATATTCACTGAAAAAAATCCGTTTTCTTTCTCCATTTCAATTATTTATATTTAGGTCTTGTCGATCTCGTAGTCCTCTGTTCTCTGGCAGGTCCTTCACTCTCTTGATCAAATTTCTCTTTCTATTCTACTGTTTGTATAATTGCTTCTTCTGTTTGTTCTTGATCTTTTCTCTCCTCTTGTCGATATTGCACTCCTTCATTTAAGAATGCTCGATTTCTTTCATCAAAGTCTTGTGCTTTCCAAACTGAATCCAATCGGTATCTTGTATTATTCCAGTTGATTAAGATCCCTTCTGGCATTAACCATCTGAAATTTATGCCTTTTGCAATTAGCTTTGTAGTTAGGAAGTGATATTGTCTTCCGGTATCTCTTACTCTCTTGGGCACGGGTCGGCAACCCGCGGCTCTGGAGCTGCATGTGGCTCTTTCAGCCTTTTCCTGCGGCTCCCAGTCCTTCTCCGCCATTTGCAGAGACAGAGACAGAGAGAGGCACTTGCGCTTCCCTTCCCTCTCCCTCCCTCTCTCTCTCTCTCTCTCCCTCCCTCCCCGATTTTCTGCTCACCTGGCTAGCTGGCCTCACGCTGTTCTCCGACAAGCTGACAAGCTTATTGGGCGGGCTCCCTGCTCTTGCTGCATCTCCGCAGGAAGCAGCAGAAAGCAGCAGCTCTCTCTCTCTCTCTCTCTCTCTCTCTCTCTCTCACTCTCATACACACACACACACACACACACACACACATGGGGCCTGAAGCAGGCCGACCCTGCTGGTTCTGATCGAGTGAGAGAGACCATTTGTCAGCAGTGGGCAGTTAGAAAATCTGCCACCAAGGAATCACCATTGGGTTAGACCAAGGGTCGGCAACCCGCGGCTTGGGAGCCGCATGTGGCTCTTTCAGCCTTCTACTGTGGCTCCCAGTCCTCCGCCATTTGCAGAGAGACAGAGAGAGGCACTTGCACTTCCCTTCTCTCTCTCTCTCTCTCTCTCTCACACACACACACACAGAGACACACACACACAGACACACTTTTACTTAGTGGGGGAAGAGGACTGGCAGACCAAGGACAGGAGAGAGCCAGCCCAATAAGAATGTGTGTCAGCTTGTCGGAGAACAGCGTGAGGCCAGCCAGCCAGGTGAGCAGAAGATCGGAGAGGGGGGGGAGAGAGGAAAGAGAGAGGGAGAGGAAAGAGAGAGAGGGAGAGGAAAGAGAGAGAGAGAGAAAGAGGGAGGGAGAGGAAAGAGAGAGAGAGAGAGAGAGAGAGACAACCCAGATAACACATTGCTTATTAAGCACTAAATATTTGTAATTATAAAAACTTAATAAAATATCTATAAAAAGAGAGAGATAAATTAATTTGTCAGACAAATTTACCCTCTTAGCTGTCAGTTAAGGACTGAGAGGAGGACAGAAACTATCATCTACTGTATACCAACAATTACTCAACTGTAGGAGATCTGAGGTACACAAGCAAACTAAATTGGAACCTTTTCTTGCAATGCCCCCTCATGGCACAAATGCATATTTCTCTTGTTTGAGAAGTATTGCAATGAGAAGTATAATGTTAGTTTGTTTTTTTAATAATATATTTTATTTTTTTAACATGGTCACCTTAATATTTGGTAAACAGTGTGTTGTCTGGGTTTACATTTAAAAAACATTTGCTAACAATTGGTTTCTATGATCTATAATCCACATAATAACTTTACTTGATTTCCTCGTCTTCCCATAATGTTCTCTTTTACCAACCTTAAGTTAATACAATTCTTATTGTTTTGATAGACAACAATTGAGTATAATTTTTTTCTAATATTTCCACAAATAATAATCACATCAATATAATATTTCTTTTCTATCTAGTCATTCTGGTTGCCTCATCATAGATTCCGTTTACAGTTCAACATTCTTACTGGTTAAGATTTTCTCAAAGTTAATTACATTTAACTATTTGATTCTATTTTTTCTCATGTAAACCATTTCATAACTTTTACCTTACTTAAGGAATAAATAAGACTAAAAAAAGAGAAAAGAAGAACAAGAGTAAAGAGGGATAAAAAGATAGTATACTACTGAAAGTCCATGTTTCCCCTAAGCTAATACATATTTATTTCCAAAATTTTTCCATTCTTTTTTACCATAATTAAGAATATATTTAATCTTTAAATATTCCATTTAATAAATCTAGTCATTTGGTCTTTTAACTCTTATTCAAAACATTTTTTTTTCAATCCATTGTAATTTTCTTAAAATCAGTCACATTTAAATATCTAAAATATGTCCTTACATATAAGCCATTCTAACTCTTTTATATTACTCATATCAAGAAATAAAAGAGAAGAAAGAGAGAGTACTATGTTATTTGAGGGACTCCTCCCTCTTAAAGTAAAATTCATATCCAAAATTTTCTATTACTTTAACCATATTCAAACAGGTGTTTCTTTTTTAAATATTCTCTCTGATAAGTCCCATCATCTATTGTCTTAATTTTCACTTTGGCCTTCTTCTTTTGCCCAATATCTTTAATCAATATATTCTGCTGAATCAAAGAGCCTTTCCATATTCTTGTAGGTGTCACTGTAGATATAAAAAATAAGTCAAGTACAATATCTTTGTAAGAGGCATTTGCTCTTTCATGTTTGTTGAAAATCTTTTTCTTTCTTTTTCTCTCTGTATCTCTTATCATTTTTGTCTCTCCAATTCTAGTGGTATTCCTGACGTCTCTGCAATCCATTTTATCCAGTCTTTTTTCTTATCCTCAAATTTGTCTTGGGGTCTTAAAGTATAAGTTGCCTCTTTCAAAACCAATATTTCTTGCAAATGTTTTTCCACTTGGGTTAAATCATACTTCTTTGTTGTGTTAAGTTCCATCTTTGAGTCTCTATCCTCGAATTTGTTTTCAGTTATCTGTTTTATCTGCTCCTTCTCTATTGTTATTTCCTGGGATTTTTTTTGTTGTAAAGTTAAATTGGAGATGAATTGGTTTATGTTTTCAAAGTTATTTTGGATTTCTTTGTGGTTTGAAATCAATTGTTGTTTGAATTAGTTGCAACATCTCATATGTCTCCTCTTGAATGGTATTTATTTTTTCTTGATGGGTTCTTTCTGCAAGTCTCTGATTTTCCATAGTGGTCAAGAATCGAGGTTTTCTTTTCTCTGCAAATAGCTTTAGAGTCACAGTTTAGTAGATATTTATAATCCAAAAAGGTTCAAAAAGATTTGCTGAAGTTTATAATCCTCTCTTTGTCTGCAACCCAAATTGTTTTCTTTTTTTTTTTGTCACAGCTGTTCTCTATTGTTATAGCTTTGAAGGTCACAAGCACAGATTAGTTTTTTCCAGATTTTGCCAAGTCCTGTATAAAAGCCATAGCTGTCATAGTCTTTATCCACCACTAGATGTCAGCACGTTTATTTTTCAAATTATCAAACTAGAAAATCGCCTTTAAAATGAGAATCTTAACCATTCAACAATTCCAAACTTATCCAAATTTAGGTTTTATATTCATTTCATTTCATTTCTGTATGTTTTGGTCCTCCATAAAAGGTTTAATTCACTGCTTCCGTTAGTAAAAGGGTGGGGCAAAAATCCCCCTCCTTCACATTTGGAGGTTTTTTGCTTCTTAGGATTTTTTTCCCCAGGAAAGTTAATAAGTAGGATAGAGAAAATCGATGATCTTACCCAGATTCAAATAGCTGTTTACAATCAGCTTAAAATAGTGCTTTTTGACTTCAGTTGCTTGTAGCTTGGGCTAGACTACGGGTTGGCAACCTGCGGCTCTGGGGCCGCATGCGGCTCTTTCAGCCTTCTGCGGCTCCCAGCCTCCGCCATTTGCAGAGAGAGAAACAGACATCCTGGGAGCGGCCCGCCGGAGTCTCCACTGAGCGGGCCAGCCCTCCCGCAAGCTGCAGCACCGAGGGAGCGCAGCACCTGCGATCCCCAGCCGGCGCTACCGTTGGCCCTGCTGGCCGGGAAGGTGCGCTGGAATCCCGGCTGCCGGGAAGGAAGAGGGAGACACATTATATAAATAATAAAGGTAAAAAAGGATATATGCAGTGTTATCTTCATTTTAGATGTCAAAAAGGTTTTGCGGCTCCCAGTGTTTTCTTTTCTGTGGGAAACGGATCCAAGTGGCTCTTTGAGTGTTAAGGTTGCCGACCCTTGGACTAGACTTTGAAGTTAGGCTAGCCTTTCTCCTGTTGGTTTCTAGAAGGCTTCCCCTGGACCGATCGGGTCGACCGCTGTCTCTCCGTGGTCTGCGGGACTTCCTTCTTTGCCGCCTCTTCAGGGTGGCTTCTGGCCCATTTAGGGTCCCCTAACAAGAAGAAATTCAGCCAAAGAGCATGGAGCCCCGAAATCCCTTGGCTGCTGCGCTACTGCGCAAGACTGGAAGTCAGAAGTACAATGTTACTTTAACTGTATTCCAGGATTTGCTTGTCTACAGCTGAGAGAATTTGCAATAATTTAAGACTTTACAAAAAGTCTCAGAAATCTTTCATTAAGGTCTTTGTGTTGTATGGTTTGAATACCATGTCATAGATATATTATTTATCATTGGAAAACAACATATTCCACACTCCTTTTTTTTTCAATTTTTCTGGGTTTTTTCCAGGCCTTCCCATCTCTAGGTGTGACTCAGATGGCAAAGCTTCTGCTTGAATATTTCCTCTTCTGGGATCTTGTCTGTGCTCTGCTTGGATGGCCAAGGAGTGGTTTGTTCCTCCCAGGACTCCACATGCCAGCATGAGCATTTAGCTTAGCTATTAACTATTTATTAACTGACTATTCCCTCCCTCCCAGACATGCAGCTGATTCAGTATCGGGGGAACCCTTTGCTTTCACTGTTCGAAGAACTGCCTTCCAGTGATGAAGTTGGCAGCCTGGGGAACACCAGAGGGGATCTGCTGGATTCAATGGAGAGCAACGAAGCAGCGGAACACGTCACCGGCCCAGAAAGCCAAACAGACGGAGCCGTTCTGCTGGAGCCCCTGGATCAGCCCCTTCTCTCAGAAGACATGAATGGCGAATATAAACTCTTTCCTCTTCTGCTTCTCAGCCCAGTTGCAAATTTCATAGAGGAGGCCTCGGAAATAGAAACAACTTGAATTGCTGACCAGGACTTTCACAAAACAGTATCTTTTCTGTGGAAGAAGATTCAAGAACCACTGCAGATTGCAGTTCTGCTTCTCTTACTTTCTGTGGCTGAATTTCCTCCACAAACAAGGGAAAGCTATTTTTACCCAAAGAATGTAGTTTTAGGAAGGCAGTTGCAAATTGTACTGATTTAAAAAAAAAAAAAAAAAAAAAAAGCAAACAGCAAATTTCAAATCTGCTTTTTAACTATTTTATACACAAATATGCTATAAATAAGGTTATATATCTTATGTACGATTTGCATATTCATATGAGGGGTTTTAGGTTGTTTGATCCCATGATAGCAAATACATTTATTTTTCTTCCTGAAATGTGGTGTTGGAGATAGCAAGTATGTTAGAATTATGTTGGGTTCTTTTATAACTCTAACCTTTCTTTGCTCCAAATGTTTGCCTCAATCCTGACTACTCTGACTTTGTCTTCAGCTATATCACCTTTTATGTGTTATTTTAAGTTTTCCCTCTAACTATTAATGTAAGTAACTTCTGTTTCCTATGGAAAACAATATATTTTAACATTTATTTTAAAATAATGGTATGTGGACCCTGCTGCATATTTAGATACGTTGCAAAAGCTCATTTCTGATGCACATTGCATGTCAAACCTTTTGTTCCTGATATGGGTTTCCCACTAGTAAATAATGGAATTATCCAAGAAGTATCATCAAAGCCAGTCAAACTCAATTTCATTGAGGGCCGCATCAGCATTGCAGTCGTCCTCGGGGGGGGGGGGCAGGTGTGGCCAGGATGGGCATGGCCTACTGGATGGGCATGGCTGGAGTGGGTGTGGCCTACTGGGTGGGCGTGGCCAGCTCTTCATTGTTCACATCAAGGGGGCCTGTGGGGGCCTGGGCAGGAGTCGGACAGATCTGAGGGTCTCTGGTAGAAGGGGGTGGGACTGGGGCAAGCGCCAAGGCATGCTCCACTGGAAGAGCCTCACTGTTCCTCTCAGGCCATGCAAGGGGGGGGCTGGATGGTGCCGCGGGCTTCCCGGAGCCAGGCAGCGCGAATCCAAAAAGAAGCGCGACGCCACCCAGCCCCCAGCCTGCCCACTTTCGGCAGGCAGCGGTGTGCTCTCCTCACAGCGCCGAGAGGCTGAGCCGGGCAGTGCAAAGCTCGCCAGCTTTGCACCTTGTGTTCCTGCTGAAATCGGGCAGGCTGGGGGTTGAGCGGTGGCGCACTTCTTTTTGGATTTGTGCCGCCTGGCTCAGCCTCTTGGCGCTGTGAGGACAGCGCCCCATGCCTGCTGAAACCCCTCTTCCGGAGCCCATCAAGCCGAATATGTGAAGTAGGCGAGGGCCATTTGCTGGCCACTTCCAGGCGATGGTGCATTTCTTCATTCCTCACAAAGGGTGACACCTCCCCATGGGGCGGGGCCAATGCGGCAGGGGCCGGTCCCTCGCTGTTTCCAGACGGCCTTGTGGAGCTAAGACTGAATGCATTTCAGCATAGATGGCCACCACAAAATTGTACATTGGTTTCCGGGCGGCCGGGGCCAAGGCAGCGGGGGCCATTCCCTCACTGTTTCCAGGAAGGCTTCCCGGGCCACATGAAACCACGTCGCGGGCTGCATCTGGCCCCTGGGCTTTCTGTTTGACATGTCTGCTCTAGGTCAACATTTTCTTGCATAGGCCCTGAACCCTGAAGGTGTTGCTGACCTGTTCTGTCCAGGTATCTCAGGCAGGTGCACTTGGTGTTTGGTACTTGGTGCTCATGGTGTTTGTTGGTTCCAGCGATTTTCATCTAGACTGCAGGTTCTGCTTTCCCCCTTGTCTTCAAAAGCAGAATTATGAGGCCATTTGGCATGTTGAGATATATAGAAAAATAATATTTTTTCTGGATGTGCAGGACATCTCCTGAAATTGCTTGTCCCTTTGCCCATAAATAAAATATGGTGGCCAAATCCTACAGTCATCCCAACAAGCATCATGATGGACAACCCTTTAATTCTACATCATCCATGGGCAGAGCCTTGGTGATTTGGAGCCATTTGCTCTCCTGTAAATGGCATAATGGTAACATCACATAATTACCTTCAAAATGAAGGTTTCCTTTTAAAAATAACTTGTTTGTATCATACGTCACAAGATTGAATTTTGATGCTTGGCAATGCTCATGTTTACAGTCATTTGCAGCGTCCCACAATCACATGACCAGTTTATAACAAAACCTGGCAGTTCTATTTTTTGGCAAAAACATCCCATAATAAACTGAGTTTGCTTAAAACTGCTGCCAAAAGTCGTAAAATCGGGTTGGTCATGTGATACCCACTTTATGACTGTCACAACATATGACTGTAATAGGCAAACTCCATTACAATCATAATTTGAGGACTAGCTGTAATAAAAAACTACATAGTGTTTTGGTACTTTGTTTCAAAAGTGAATGGTTAGGAAAACTAAAAAATTTACTGGTTTTGAACAGTCTGCTCCAAGCGTAGGAAAACTTCCCTGAGTTTTTCTGTGCCAGATTTTGTAAATTTCCCATCACCATGGCTGCAATATATAAGCAAGAAGAACTGGTTTGTGTAATTAAACTCTAATTTTATTGGGCCAGGAGATCCGAGTTTGCTTGCTCAGATTCTCAACACCCTGCGTTCTTGATGGTATGAGCTGGAATAATGAGTGAGGCTGAGGATATGAGTGACTGATCTCAGTCTGTTTCAGATAAGGCTGCACCTAGAATCCAGGCCTTTGTCTTCTGGAAAAGACCTTATGTTTCTCTCAACCAAGCCCTGATAGTCTTCAGGTAAAATGTTCTCATACATTTCCTACAGGACCTTGGGTAGTGATGTGCAACTGGGTATCATCAGCTTATTGATCCTACCTTACCCTAAATTGGCAGATGATCTGTCCTAGCAGCCTCATGTAGGTACTAAATAGGATTAAACAGAAAAGGCCAAGCCATGGGCATCCTTTAACAAATGGCTCAGGGCCCAAATGTTCTCCTTCTCCCTACTCACAGGACTTACCCATTAAGAAAAAGAACCACCATAGATGATCCACAAGGATACTGGGTTGAGAAGGATGGTCATACTTCCAGGCCTTGTCACAAGTTTTCATGAGAATAGACAATGCGGTTTCTGCCTCTAAATCCCATCTGCCACAGATCCAGATAAATCCATACTCTAGAGCAGGGGTGTCAAACTGCCGGCCTGCGGGCCGGACGCGTCATTGGGAAACTGTGCCCACCCCATTGCCGAGAATGGCGAAAAAGCTCCGATACGTTGTGCGATGTCATGTGACATTGCGAGTTTGACATGTCTGCTCTAGAGGATCCTTCATGATTGCAACACTGATAGAATGGGAAACAAGAATTATATTCATTATAGGCAAATGTGAAGTTCTACACTTGGGTAACAACTTTTGAAAGGAGGGTACTTGTTTTGGCAGTTGTGCACGTGCAATGTTGCGATTCCCATCAGTCATGAACTGAACATGAGTCAGCTGTGTTACGCTGTTGCCAAAGAGCAGACATGGAATAGTTGTGAAACTTAAATTCTGATAGGGTTACACCCTTTCCTGCAGTGTTGATTGAACTTCAAAAGATGAGTCATGGTTAGCATCAATTCAATTGATTGATTACATTTTTATCCTGTTTTATTACTTTATAAGTAACTCGAGGATGAACATACCTAATATTCCTTCCTCCTCCTATTTTCACGATAACAACCCTGGTGGGTTGGGCTGAGAGAGGGATTGGTTCAAAATCAACCAGATTGCTTTCATTCCTAAGGCAGGACTAGAACTCACCATCTTCTGGTGATTGGCACAAAGTCACCCAGACAACTTTGGTACAATGTGGATATTGTTTAAATCCTTAAAAATCTTCTCTCTTTTTAAGGGAGTCCTACAGCTTGAAGATGACTATAAATGTTTAAGTCACAGAATACACATGCAGAATAATTGCAAAATCAACTTCAAATTAAATACCAACAATTCTTTAAAAATTGGGCAGGTGCAAAATAAGAGGTTTCAGTGCTTCCCTTGATTTGATTCACCTTGTTTTAGAGCGGGCCTTAAAGAATGGAAGTGTCTCTGTGCATTAAAAGGTGGGTTATTTCAGAGCAGGGCTGGGTGCCCTGAGTCTCTAAGAGCTCCAGGCAGAGAGACCACTAGGTTGGTAGAGAGAGTACAGATGGGATTGACGTAATGCAATGTCTGGTCTAATGTTTAAACCTCTGGCGGTTTTGAAAACTGGAAAAATACAACTATTATAACAGCAGCAATAATCATAATAGTAATGGTAATACATAGAATGCTTCCATGGGGGCTTAGGAACAAGAAAGAGTGGGCATCCTAATCCATTATTTGCCTGAGTGTCACCTGCTGTGGAGCCTCAGATTCCCTTGAGGCTCCCACACCAACAAGAGGTTCCTACCTCCCTTTTTCCTAACTTTTTAGATGGAAGTTAGTGAAGAAGTGGACTCCACAAAGCAGAGTGAGGAGGTAAATTATAAAAGGACTCAAAGGAATGAGCTGCGATTGTCTCCTTCCACCTTCCTGTGGAGGCTTTTGAAAGGAGGAAGCCTGGTGGGATTTGGTTGTGGGGCTTCATGGCAGCTGCAGGGCTGCTCTCCAATCTGCGCTTCTGTAATCCCTGTGCTCTGCCTCTGCAAAAGAGACAAGGGACTCAGGTTCCACCCTTTAGCAATGCTGCTTTCCTTTGGCCAAGACATTTGTTTTCTGCTGTTCTTCTGACAAGCAAAGAACAAAGTTCACTTCCAAGGCATCCAAATCACATTCACGGCACAAAATGTTGAATAAGCGTTCGTTAGGGCAAGGGTAGGCAACCTTGGCTCTTTTATGACTTGTGGACTTCAACTCCCAGAATTCCTGAGTCAGCCATGCTGACTCAGGAATTCTGGGAGTTGAAGTCCACAAGTCATAAAAGAACTAAGGTTGCCTACCCCTGGTTTAGGGGAACAATAGGGTCCCTCCAGAACTTTATCTTATGCACAGAGAATGAAAGGATGAGCTTTTCATTTCATCTTGGAGAAAAGCCTAAAACCAAGCAAAGTTGTAACCAATAGCCCATGTGGGTTTGTCACAAACAGATCATGCCAAACCTTATTTCATTCTTTGAAATGACTAAATTAGTGGACCAGCGAAATGTTGTGGACATAGTATACTTTGATTTCAGCAAGGCATTTGACAAAGTAGACCACAACCTACTTCTTGGTAAGCTAGAAAAATTTGGGACAAGACAACATTTGGATTTGGATCCATTTGTACCAGATGGATTTGTAAATGGCTGACAAACCGCACTCAAAGTGTAGTCCTTAATGGTACTAAGTCTACATGGAGAGAAGTAAGCGGGATTCCCAGGACTTTTCAATTTCTTCATCAATGACTTAGATGAGGGAATAGAAGGAGAACTCATCAAATTTGCATGTGACATCAAGCTGGCAGGAATTGCCAACACCCCAGAAGATAAGCTCAAAATCCAGATGGATCTCGACAGACTTGAATACTGGGCCCTCGGAATGGAATGGAATGGAATGGAATGGAATAGAATAGAATAGAATCTGGAAGGGACCTTGGAGGTCTTCTAGTCCAGCCCCCCCCCCCGCTCAAGCAGAAGAACCCATACCATTTCAGACAAGTGACTGTCTAGTCCAGAGGTGTCAAACTGCCGGTTGCATCATAGAGACCGTGCCCACCCCAGCT